CAGTTTTTCATAAAGTTAAACTTAGAGTTACCATTTAATTCAGCAATTCTACTGCTAGGTACATATATCCAAGAGAAATAAAAAAATCATTCTTGAATGTCTATATTTTTTTCTAGTAGCCAAAAATAGAAACAACTTAAATGTCTACCAAGTGATAAATGGCTAAGCAAATTGTGCTAAAGCCATACAATAAAATATTATTCAGTAATAAAAATTCATTACTGATACATGGTACCATATGGATGAAACCATGTTTACACCATAATGTTTAAAAACATTATGCTAAATGAAAGATGCATTATTTGACTCTACTTATATGAAATATCCAGAGCAGGCAAATATGATACAAGCCACATGTAGTTTTAACTTTTCAAATAATCATGTATAAAAAGTAAAATAGAAACAGATGAAAATAATTTTAATAATATATTTTAATTAACACAATATTCCTCAAATATTATTTTAGTGTAAAACTAATATGTCATTTAGTAAGGAGCTATTCTATCTTATTTATTTACTTTTAGTAAGTCATTAACAGTTTTTATACTTAGAGCACATCTCAAGCTGAACCAGCCTTATGATAAGAGTTCAGTACCCATATGTGGCTATTGGCACTGCTAGTGTGAGCTTCAAGAGAAATGATTTCTCGTTCATTTTAATTTTCACAGGTGCTTGTTAATGAATGAATGACTAGGTGAACAATGACAAAAAGAGCTAATGTTGACTGATTACTACGTGAAAGACACTGTGATAAGTAATATGTTTATTTTCTGATCAGCAAATGGTTGGTTAGCATTCAAGAGCTGTGTAAGTGAACTTCTTATACTGTTGATTTGATTATTTATGAAAGGATGAAGGGATGGGTAAAGTAACTCTTAAGATCAGCTCTAAAATGTGCCTGCCTCCCAAGTGCAAGGGTTCAATCCCCGGTACCAAAAGAAAAAAAAAAGATCAGCTCTAAAATAATATGGCTATAAATAAAATGGAGAGCATTTAGAGTCATGAGAACAATGGATGAAAGGATGTTTTAGAAACCAATGTTGTTCAGTGAAAGGGCAAAAGTTTGGACTTAGCATACCTAGGTTAGAATTCACAACTCCAAATTAGTTATGTGATCATAAGCAATTCAGCTAAATTAAAATTCAGCTACTAATCCTTATCTTGTGAGGCTTAAAAATAATATCTATAAAGTTTCTGGAATATTATAAAAATAAAAGGTAGACTTTATTATTGGTTTAGGAAAGTACTTCACTTTTTTTCTTAAGATTTAACAAATATTTTAGATAAGGATAACCAGGTGCCAGAAATTCTTTTAAGTGCTTAAAAATATTCAGCTTCAAAGCACCCATTTGAAGTAGGTACCTCTTTTTTACTTTAAACCTGGGAAACTGAGGCCCAGTGGTTAAACTACTTGTGCAAAGTCATGGAGGTAGTAAGCAATAATTCTGATATTCTAACCTAGGAATTGAGTTCTAGATTCAGGACCCTGAATCACAATGCTTTATTCTTCTCAAATCCACTATTGCTGATTTCATTGGAAAAAGTCAGCATTGGCTGTTCTAGGAAAATCATACTGGGCTGATTAGATGGCTTTGCTTACGGAGAAACTAATCTTTGCACTGTGTTCTACTTTGCAATAAGAGATTAATGACCGAGTCAAATACATTTTATTTCCTCAAATAGTCAGACCTTTGTAGACACTAACAATTTTTTTACACATAGGTGTGGTTGGCTGCTTGAAGTTTTTCCAGCTTGTGGCTCAGGTTTGCAATATGTCTGGGAGGAGACTTAACCTAGAAGATTAAGCCTGGACTAGTACTGACCTTAGGCACTGTTCTCAAAAGCCACCATTCAAAGAACAGGAAATAGGTGGGTCACAGAATGTGGCTTACATCTTGGAGATGCTAATATTAAAATAAAAAGACAAAGTAGTGAGACTCACATCTGAGCATCTGTTGCAACTCTGTTCTAACTTATATACAAAGGGAGTAAATCTGTAAGAAATAAATAAAAAGAAGAAACAGAGACAGGAAAAAGAAAAGAATAATTCCCTGGTTTGGGATTCTAGTTGGTTACCACTGTCCCCAAGTGGGGTTTAAACCATGTCAATGCCATCCACAAAGGATAGGCAAAACAGTGACAAACTAATCAGATGTGGAAAGAAATTGGCCAACAAGTTTTCTTTTCACAATGATGATTGGAAAATCGATAACAGATATGTCTTAAGAAATATTGTTAATACTGTGCCTCTTCCTCCTAAGATGCGAGAAGAAAGTAACACCAGGACAACAGCAGTGAACAAGGTCTAGAAGAGAGAGCTGCAAAAAGAAAGTCAATGATTAGAACACATAGTACTTTAGAAGAGCCATAAACATAGCAGCTCCATTCTGCTCCACTTAGATTAACCCTGTGGAATGTCTGAGCAGCAGATTATTCACCTCTGAGTGAAACAACTATTTCACAGATCTCTGAAACACCCAAAACAGATACTAAGTTTCTCTTTTTAGAGATGTGGGACCTGTCTGTACCTGCCCAGACTGGCAGTCTATGTATCAGTGGAAATGTTAGAAATTTTGACTTCTTGTCATTTGGGTTTTCATTAAGTCTTTAAAAATAGTTTTAAAGCAGACCAATTCTGAATACCATAAATGGGTGCAGGGCAAGGTAGAGATCATCAAATAAACTGCAGAGAATAACTCCCCTACCAGAATTTAGCTTACTTGAGGAAAGTTATCTGAAACTGTATGGTATGACAGTAACTATTTGTGATGCATTCTAGATATCTGTGATGACATCTCCACTGTAACTACAAAGAGAACTGCATTCCTTTCAGTGTTGTCAACTACATTTCATGTGCAATAGCTACTGAACCTGTAAACATAAAGCTCAATGAAAGCAATTGTTGTCTCATTACATCCATGTGCTGGAAACTACTGCCACGTCTGACTTTATGTGCCTGTTTAGTGATGTGCACTTTAAACAGAGACATTCATTTGAACTAAACAAATTAATGACTAAATACGAATGTTGTGATTTTTATCCTGGTGTAGTTTAGTAATCTAGAATTGGGCTTAGTTTTTGTTTTTGAGATGAGATCTTGCTATTTTACTCAAACCATCCTCAAGCTTCAGCCTCCAGCATCTGGGACAACTTTTAGTCACTGTGCCCAGCACCGCCTCAGTTATCTTTTGAGGGGTGTATTATAGTTTATATCTAGATGTTCTCTGAAAGCCACATGTGATCCCAGGTAGGGCTTTTGGGAGGTGATTGGATCTGGGGGCTTAACAGTCAATAGTGGTTTATTCCATTGGTCAGTTTATAGCTAAATGTGACATTGGGAAGTGAATCCTAGTGGGAGGAGGTGAGTCACTAGGGGCATGGCCTGGAAGGGTAATATCCGCCTGCCTCCTCCTTTCATCTCTGTTTCCTGCCTGCCATGCCATGAGCTGTTTCTCCTCTGCCCTGCCCCTCTGCCAGCCAGTGAACTATGGACTGAAACCCCTACCAACTGTGAGTCAAATAAACCCTTCCTCCTTTAAGTGATGGGTTTTGTGTATTGTGTGCCAGCAATGAGGACAGTAACGAAGACAGTAGGGTATAATTAAACCACTTTAACAAATGTTTTACCTGACCCTGGTTATTTCACAACTCAGCTAATAGACTGAGTGGGTTCTAGGCCCACACTCTTGTTTTGACTAACATAGTAGATGTGCCATTTCTGAAGGTAAACAACTGTGTTAACTTTGTCTTTGTGAAACGGCTCTACAGCTCTGCTCTATGCGCTCTTTGAGGGCAAGTTTTGTTTCCTGGGCTCAGAATTTAAATATGCCACAAAGTAGGCAGTTCGATAAGCTTTTGCAGTTTCCAACTGGAGGCAGTCCTGAGTGATTCTGTGCTACTAACAGGGCCAGACACTGAAATAAGCTCGGATTCGCTAAAGAAAAATCACCACGAGCCAGGCTGGCCCGCCCTTAAATTTCCAACCAGTGCCTGCTATTCACAGTGCCAGAAGCTTTCCCACATTTTGACTTCTCGTAAATCCTCCTCCCTCCTTCAACGACTTGTAGATCTTTAGTGATGGCTAAGGCTTGGTGGGAACTACGAATTACGGGGTAACTCTTAGGATCGCTGTATACTTTAAAAAACTGAGTTATTGGTTCATGAGGTGCCTAGAGTGCACTTAACCTGAAGTATGCAGCAGAGTGAATCTGTGCATTTGCAAACACCCCTGTAACTACCACTCGGATCGAGGAAAAGAACGTTTCCACGTTCACCTGGGATTCCTCGCGCTCCTTCGCATAGAACATGCCCGCATGCCTCAGCGGAAACCACTGTTCTAACTTCCCTCACCATCCCTAAGTTTTGGAGAAAGTGGGAAGCGGCACGGTTTGGCCTCTGTACGGTGAAGCCGGAGGACACTCTGGGCTGTGTCCTCCCCACCGGAGCTTTTCCTTGAGAGAGTCCCGGGTCCACAGAGCGACGGCCCCGCCCTCGCCGGGGACCCGGACCAAAGTGGAGATTCTCTGAGGGCACCCCGGGGTCCCCCAAAAGGCGAGTCGGGCTCCACGTAGGCAGCCCGGAGACGACACAATGGCTGCTCCGCGGGCGCTCGCTCCGGCTTCCAGCGCGCCCCACGCCTCTCGCTCGGGCGCCCCGCTAGAGCCGCGGGCAGCCGGGCGTGGCGCTGGGCGCGATCCGCGGAACCAGCGGCCGGGGGAGGCGCTGCGGAGCCCGGGATGTGGGGAGCGCGCCCATTGGTTGAGCTTTCCCCCGCCGGCCGCCGCGGCGCCCACCTCCCGGGCCTCTCTCCGCGCCCCCATTGGCCGTTCGCGTCTCACTGGTTCTCGCTCCCGCCCCCCACCCCCCATGGAAACTCGGCTGGGGGGTGGAAAGCTGGAGTGAGGCCGAGGGTGAGTGGTCCTCCCCGCGAGGGTGCGCAAGACAGCCAATCGGGAGCGGACGTGGAAAGGGGGCGCCGCGCCAGCCAGTCACATGCCGAGGGGCGGTCGGGGTTGATGACGCAAGCGCAGGCCACAGCCAGTGGGCGAGCGGCTGTCCGTCCGCTCTACAGCAGCCGGTCGGGGGCGGTGGAAACGCGAGTGAGGAGAGCCCGACGCCGGCGGCGCGCAGCCTTCGCTGAGGTGCCAGGGAACGGCGAGGCCTGAGCCTCTTCGTCTGGGTGAGAGGCAGGGGCGCCCCTGGAGGCTGAGCCGCGGGCTCCTGGGTGTCTGGCTGGGGCGGCGGCTGCGGGAGCCGGGGCAGGGCCGAGGTGGGGCCGCCCCGCCCCCGCCCTCCCTCTAGCGCGCCCGGAGCGGGGGCGCCCTCCTCGGCCGGACGGTGCCGCTCGGCTGGCCGGGGCGAGGAGCCTGGCTCCGCCCGCGGTGGGAGGCCGCCGAGAGGTGGCGGAGGTGGGCCGGTTGATTGGCGGGGAGCGGGCTCGCGAGCGAGGGAGGCCTGAGTGTCTCGGGGAGGGTTCCGGTGGCTGGGGACGAAGAAAGTGATGGGGAGAGGTGATGCTCAGAAGAGTGTCCAGGCGGAAGGCGGAGGTGTGTCTTCTCGGAAGTGGGCATCCGTGGGGCTTGGGGCCAGGCAGCGGGAAGCCGAGGGGAGCTGGCTTGGGATTTGAAGGTTAAGGTCCCCGGACCTTCGGGACACGTGGATCTGGAGTGAGAGGCGCCTTCCGAGACCGGAAGGTGTCTAGGGGCACAGGTTCACTGTGGTGTGGAGGGGAGGCTCGCTAGGAGGCGTTATTTGGCCTGTTAGAGAGTACACACCTTGCAAGCGAGGTAGATTTATGTATGACAGGTGAAGGCTGTGAATCGTTTATGAACAGTTGAGCAAGGACGGAGTGGGGGGGGGGACCGCAGGTCAGATTCATAGGTTCATTCACTACTCATGATGGGCCCAACCCTCTGATCTGTTAATTCTCACTACTTAAGGTTGATCTCCCGACTCCCCACCCTTCTTTCCACTCACGTGACAGTACATTTGTTTTGCCTTAACAGCACACAGACTTAGTCTCTCAGGAAAGAAAGTGGCCTAGTTTGCTTTTGATTGGATGGCAGTAAGCAATAGCTTAGTCCTTTACATTAAAAAAGAATTATGTTCAAAGACAGCATTAGAAGATAGTCTTGTAAAATCTGCCCTATAGGGAAGTTTCTCAATTATCTTGAGTATGTGTAATATTGCATAAAAATGTTGCAAGATCTTTTAGGATGGAACAGAATTCATGTATAATTACAGTCCTGTTATTCTATAGGTGCTGAAGATACACTTTTTTTTGGTACCAGGGATCAAACTCAGGACCTTGCGCTTGCCGAGGCAGGTGGTGGAACCACTAAGCTAAATCCCCCGCCCTCTTGTTATTCTATAGGATCAATCTTTTTGATGCAGTGGAATTTCATTATGTGTTGTTGTTTGAGAAATTTCTCAGCCTTGAGAAGAGTTTGGTAACTAAATAGGATCAAAATTCTTTTCACTCAGGAAGGAAAGACATGATATTTGTGTACCACTGCTACTGCCTTTCTGTTTGAAGTCTTCAAACTCCTTATTTTTGGGGTGTGCACAGAGGTTGGGGAAGAGGTGGTAGGAAAGGTGGCCCACTATCACATTTCCTGCGGATTTAAATAGCAGAGTTAATTTATGTTGGAGAATAGGACAAAAGGACTGTGAAAAGTTATGTTGTCAGGGACAGAAACCAAAGAGAGCAGTTGTATAGAATGTTTCCTTGTTCACTAGATGCACAATACATTATAAATAATGGATGATTCTTTGGGGTATAGAAATAATTTTGTGGAAGTTTTTTTCTTGGTATTTCTGTGATCACATGTTACTTTTAGTATAACAGAATACCTGAATGCTGAGGTCTCTTGGAGCAGAGATAATCCAACTGGTGTGGAGTTAATTAGGGAAGATTTCCTTAAAAAGGTGAATTTTGAGCCATTATTTGAGCTAAGAGTTGGGGTATGGGTTGTTGAAAGACAAGAGTGACAGTCCAGTAGTTGAACATGGTATAAACTATGGACAAGAATCACAAATGAAAAACCACAAATGAACAACTATGGACAAGAATCACAAGTGAAAATGAAAGAGAATTGAAGATTTCACTGAACACTTAGCATTGTGGGAATCAACTTAACATCTTATTGCAATTTAGTTGGTAAATGATAATTCTTTGGGGTAATTAGGAGAGAAGAATTAGATCAGTTGATGGGTGGAAAAAAGGCAGTAAAGTACACAAAATACTTTTGATAAGACAGTGTTGTGAAAATTACAATCAAGAAGTAATGAAATACATCTGATAGTCTTTTTTTTTTTTTTTTGGTACTAGGGATCGAACTCGGGACCTTGTGCTTGCGAGGCAGGCGGTGGAACCACTGAGCTAAATCCCCGGCCCCTACATCTGATAGTCTTAACACAATACTCAGAAATATTTTTGAGTCTTACACTAGATCATACTGATTTGTAACAGCAAAATTTATTGGGTGCTATTTTGTGCCAGACACTGTTTTGAACTTTCCACGTAGCATCATCTTTTGATTATTTGTACTTTAGAGGTAAAGGACGTGCGTTTCAGAGATGTTTAACTGGCCTAGAGTTACACGGCTATTAAGTGGCAGGTCAGGATTAGTAAAGTCAGCCAGTAAACCTTAATTGAGCATATACTTGATGCCAGGCATTGTGCTAAGTGCTGGGAACTCATAGTTGACAAAATCCAAAGGTCAGGCCTGAGTAATTTTTAGGAGATTGTTAAAGGACAGCCAGTATAGAGATAAAGGAATAAGTTGCTTTAAGAAACTTAACGACCAAAGAATTTTAAGGAAGAAGGAAGTGTTCAGCAACAAACTACATATTTAGCTGACAGACTCGAAAGAACACTGATTGAGAAGCAGCTAGTGGGTTAAGCACAAAAGAAATGAAGATGTAGTCTCTCAAGGCTGGATGAAAGACACTAAGGTATGGACTAGTAATGCTTAGTGTCAAGTACTTTGTACAAATTTAAGTATTTGGCTAATATGATCAAATTCATAGGAAAGATGATAGTGGGGCCTCTTTTAATCATTGGCTAGAAAGATTCTAAGTGATTTTAAAATGCTTGTACTTTTTATTAACACATTTCTTAAAATGAGCATTATTGTTTTTATAATTACAGGGTAAAAATCATTCAACAGAAATGAGCTGTTAGGGGATATGTCATTCTAAACCTGGGGTGAGAGAAAAGATGTCTGCTCCATATGAGCCATTTTATTAGGGCTGCTCTCTGGTTTTGTTTTTTTTTTTTTTTTTTGGTACCGGGGATTGAACTCGTATCCTTGGCTTATGCAGCAGGCTGTGAAACCACTGAGATAAATCCCCGGCCCCAAGGGCTGCTCTCATCTTGGAAATGTCTGGGTTGTTAATTGGTAGGAACTCAAACCATACATACTGAAAGATGTTATTTGCTTAATCAGAGGGATCAGATTACTAAAGTACCCTCAATTGAAGTGATAGGTCTTGACTCACCTAAATATTTGTTTTCTTAAGAGTTTAAGGTAGAAAGAAATGTAAAAAGAAAACAAACTATTCATAGAATTGAGTCATTTTAACTGTTTCTTTTGGCCTTAAAGCCTTATTCTCTTCCCATGCATTGTTACCATAGTTCCTCTCTTCGGTAAATTTGTAATGGGCTTAGAGTTTCAGTTCAGTAAGACAGCATGAAAGTACTGAATTTTGAACTGATCAACTTAAAGCATTTAGAAATTCATCGCTGTTTTCTCTAGAACAGAGACAAATATCAAGAAAATAAGCTTTTCAGCTAGGCCTAGTAGCAAACCCCTGTAATCCCATCTACTTAGGAGGCTAAGGCAGGAAGATCTCATGTTTTGAGGGCAGCCAGGACAATTTAGCAAGGTATTATCTTAAAATAAAATTTAAAAAGAAGGCTGGAGATGTAGCTCAATCCTCCTTAGGTTCAGTCTTTAGTGCAGGGTGAAACAAAAGAAAATAAGCCTTACTTACCAAATAATTATTCCCAAGCAGACTAGTAAAGATTTGCCTTTGGATCAGTACTGACTGATTCCAGTCTTCTAAATACAGAGGAAAGTGCCTTGCAATTCAATGTTTATTTATTTCTTTTGCAGTACTAGGGATTGAACCCAGGGCCTTTGCCACTGAGCCACACCCCTAGCCTTTTTTTCATTTTTTATTTTGAGACAGTCTCCCTGAGTACATGGCTCAAGTTGCCCAGGCTGGGCTTGAACTTGGGAGCCTCTTGCCTCAGCCTCCTAGAGAGCTGGGATTATAAGCATGTGCCACCACATCAGGGTTCTAGTTTTTATTTTAATTTCATTTTGCCCATAGGGATTATGAGAGAAATTGTGATTTCTGTTTCATGTAGGCATTATATTCTATTCTTTAAATGACATTTAATTTTAATATAATTCTCTTGTGTGTGCCCCATTTTATAGATGAGGAGAATGTTGTTTAGAGAAGTTAGTAACTTTCTGAGGGTCTGAGAGCCAAGTTGGCAGAGCTAGCATTGAAACCTTGTTTTGTCTTACTCCAGAACTCATGAAGCAAGTAACAAGAAAGGCCCAGGGATTTTTTCCGGTGCCTGCCTTGCAAGCACAAGGTCCCGAGTTAGATCCCCGGTACCAAAAAGGAAAAAAAAAAAAAAAAAGAACAAGTAACAAGGATTTGTTAATTCCTACACTTAAAAAAAATACCACATAATCTTAGGTATTTAGTAACTGTTTGTTTCTTTAGAAGTGGGATTCTTGGTCCAAGTTTTGTGCCTTGTGACACTGCCTCTAAATAAATGATACTGGGCCGGGGATTTAGCTCAGTGGTTTCACTGCCTGCTGCACAAGCGCAAGGACCCGAGTTCGATCCCTGGTACCAAAAAACCCCCCCCAAAATAAATAAATAAATAAACGATACTGATTTTAACATGTCTTATAGGATACATTATATTACATTTTCTCTCTTTAGAGATGTACAAGGTCTGATTAAAAATATGATGAATAAGAATTTTCTTAGAGTAAAAGACACATTACCATAAAAGTATTTCCCCTGCACTTCAAATACACTTACTGCATCATTCTTACTACTTTCTGAAGCAGTTCTGGAAGCACTTTCACGAGTGTCTTTAGTTGCACTGTCATGGCTGCTTTGATGTTCTGCATTGATTGAAAATATTTA